TAAAATTACATCAAAAAATGGTATAAAAACATTATTTTTAAATAATTTTTATTTCTTAATCGATTGTGCATTCAGTAAAAAAGGAAAAAAAAATCTTAAATTGATTGCTTTTTAATTGATTACAGTTATAATCAATTAAATTGATTACATTTAATTGATTAAATCTAAAAAAGAAAAAGGAAAAGAAATGCAGTTGAAGATCAGATTAAGTTGAATCACCTGTTCGGCAGAAGGGAAGGGATCAGTTGGGATCGATTGATTCTTTGGAGCATAGTCAATAGAACATATAAGATGGACGTATCGGGCTCAAAGAGGAACATGCTGGCACTATTGTAGTACCCAGGCTTGGGACCGAGCTCTGTTGGCCACTTGGAACTTTCCGGGCACTGACTCCCCGCTCCCGTGCAGGAACAGCCCAACGGGACGTAGATGCAGCAATCTGGTAAGTCAAAAGGGGAGTCGATGTTGTCAAAGACTTGTATGTCTCCCTCTAAGTATATCATATTGCTGTACTCCTCAAACTGCAAATTTAGTAACAAACCAATCAAGCGCAACACAACTATTTAGAAACTAAGAGCATTTGGTCAAAATATAAGGAGTACGTACTCGCCAGAGATAGATCTTGGAGTCCTTGGTGACATAGGGGAACATGGATATATGCTAACTGGGTATATTCATCTAGCTTGAGCTGATACACTGGTTGAATCTCCTTCACTATGCACCCTAAGCCCTCCAGCTTCTTCCGGTGTTCCTCAGGAACGTCCGGTAGGATGGCTATCACAATTGAGTACATACTCTTCTCTTTCCTCAACCCCCTGGCTAACCCCTCCACGCCCTTCCAATCGTCCCCGTTTCTAGGCAACAAGGTGACATAAGCCCTGCGGAGCCATTTTTGCTTGAACAACGTGTTGCGGCATTGGGGACGGGGATGGCATTGTTGGAAGCCACGTTTGGTTGTGAAGAAAGTGCTGAAGAGGAATGTTTCTCTTAGGCTTGTGGGACTCTTTAATTTATATGGAAAATGAGGGTTAGTTCTCTCTAATGTGTAATGCGGTTTTACACTTATGTGGGCAAATTGAGGCGGTTTAATAAAAAAGCTTGTATCTAACTTAAAATGAGTAAAATAACCTTTTTTGGTATTTATATTTAAAGGATATGTCTATATATGGATTTCAATCTAACAAGCAGAATTGCAATGCTTTCTCTGCTCGTACGTATAGGCCCGAATTATCATGGGATCTTAAGTTTTTTAAGAACAATGTCAAAGTTTTGATATTATATGAAAATTAAGTATGTAGGTTTCTTAATATTTCTTTAATGTGAAATTTTTCTAGTTAATTAACATTATGAAATGTATCTAATTTAGAACTAACTTAACAAAAAAAAAAATTCATAAGTGAACGTTCTTGGGAAATCAGTAAGGGTCTATTTAGAAATATGGTAGATTTTGTTTATGACTTGACTGGTTCAATCATAATTTATTCTTATTGAAATAAAAGATTCTAAATTCAAATTAAACAAGCACATATGTAGAATAAGTAAAGGAACATGAAAGAAATACTTTTCAATGTACAATTTAAATTAAAAAAATATATAAAGAACAATCTCCACCAAGGGATTGTTTGACTAATAAGAACTTAACTGAGTTAGTATTCATTAATTTAAAAACTTTTATTTGGGGTTAATATAAGAAATTTAAATATATGTACTACCAAACAACTAACTTTTCAATGTAAGAAAAAAAAATCAGGGGATTAATTGGATTAGTGATTAAATATACTGGATAAAGGATAGTCAAGATGAAGGATATTCTTCGGCTTGGATTTTCAAAATATTAGAGGAAATGGGACGGGAAAAGCTTCCTTAAGCATCGATGAAGGATATTAGAAAGAAAGAAAAGTCTAATAAATTAAAAATCTAATAAAAATATTTTACAAAAAATTTATAAAATTTTTTTGTGTTATTAAATTAATAAATGTACTTAATATTATAAGTTCTAAATAAATAAATAAAATAAATATTTAAATAACATGTAACATTGTACCAAAAAATAATACAAAAAGATTATTTTCAAATCATTTTCATTTCTTAATTGATTATGCATTTAGTAAGAGGGGGAAAAAAAAATCTAAAGTTGATTACTTTTTCTTCCTTTCCCCAAAATTAAGATTAGATTAATTAGTGTATTTCTTTCAATTAGAAACTTCATTCTTAAAAAAATCTTTAATAATACGATAGTTATAATAACATGTAAAATTTAAATTTATTATTATATTATAATATTAAATAAATAAATACATATAATATTAATAATGACTTTATAAATAAAAAATTAATTATATAATGACATATTGTAATATAAATTTACAATATTACTTGTTATTTTCATCAAATCTTCGGTAGGAAAGATGAAGTCCCCACTAGAGTCGGGCTGCAATGACACTGGAGAAAGTGAGAAGAGCTTGTGGGTTCTTAAAGCAAGTCTAAATCCAAGTTCAACCGCCATGGTTATTGGTTAAGAACAGAAGTGGTATGGACAAATCCTTCGGGCTCAATTCGATGGAATCAGTAATGGGCAATTTTCCAAGGGCCTGGCTATGATGTGCCTCATAAGTCCACATCATAGTGCTGGCCAAGGCCCAGTAAGCTTGATGGATTAGTTGAGTAGAAAATTATCATGTTCAAGATTCAAACTTTTGGAAGGCCCAAAAAAAGAAAAAGATTCAACCTTTGAATTTGTTCCTAAAAAGTAAATTTACAATGAATATCAAGAAAACAAATTGTCAATATAATGTTAGGTGCATTATATAATATATGAGTTAATATATGAGTTGATATTAAATAAATATATATAATATTATATATGATATTTTAAAATAAAAAAATAAATAAGAAAATACTATGTCATATTATAGGTAAATATTTATGTCAAGGTTTTTCCTATAATTTACTAATTAGACTCTGAAAATGCTGATGTGGACGTAACAGATGGAGCACTGCCTGGCTGCCAACCCCATCCCCAATGCCTGTATGCCGCATCTTTGGCTATTAAGCAATGATAGCTTAGCTTTTACGTGACCTTATTTTTGGCCGCTAATGTGTATGTTATTTTAATTATAAAATAAGAATAAACACATTGTAAATGCCCTTGGTTTTTTGCCCTAGTAGCAACTAGCACGATGAAAGGTGTATTTTTTTTTTTTTTTGGATGGGTTTGACCCGCCCCATAACCAATTGTTTAAAAAAAAAAAAAACACATTGTAAATAATATATTCAATTTCAAAAAATAAGTAATTAAATTTAAGCACCCAATAATTTTTTTTAAAACATGGTAAATTTTTTAATAAATTAATAGGGCAATTAAATTTAAACAGAAGGTTAATAATTTACAAATAACTTGAGTCAAATATTTTGTAAAAAATAATTCAATTCCTAAAGTTACAACAATAGGTATAGGTCACACTCTTTCTATTTTAAAAAAATTGTTAATTTTTTTATTTTTTTAAAATTAAAAATTTAGAGATAATTTATATATTTACTTATAAACTCTGAGACAAAAGTTAAAAAATAAAGAGAGATTTTTTATGATATAATAATTAATTAAAATAAATTAATAATGATAGGGTTGAAGTAGGAAAAAAAATATTTGTTTATCTTAAAAAATTAAAAAAATGATAATTAATTTTGAAACAAAGAGAATAATGAAACAAATTTCAAAATAATTGTATTTTTTATTTTTAATTT